TTGTGTTATCTTCATTTTGTAAATAACAAAGGATATTTGTATAATATAAAAATATGTCATAATATTTAATACTATTAAGTAACTTATGCATATTATAATCTACGACTGTATGTATTAATGTTCAAACATTTGGGATTAGTAGGATTTTTTGAAAATGTCTCACCAAGGCTGCATTTATTTGTTTAAGAATACAATAAAACAGCAATATTTTGAAATATAATTACAATTTAAAATAACTGTTGTCTATTGTAATGTATTGTAAAATGTAATGTATTCCTGTGCTGCGCAGCTGTATTTCCAGCATCATTCCTCCAGTCTTCAGTGTCACATGATCTTCAGAAATCAGTATAATATGCTGATTTGCTGCTCAAGAAACATTTCTGATTATTATCAATGTTGAAAACAGTTGTGCTGCTTCATATTTTGGTGGAACTCATGATACATTTGTTTAATTTTCAGGATTTTTGATGAATAAAAAGTTCAAAAGAACAGCATTTATTTGAAATAGAAATCTTCTGAAACTTTATAAATGTTTTTAATGTCACTTTTGATCAATTCAGGGTTGTAGTTAAAATTTTTAATTAAACCCAAAACCACACACACCATGGTCAAAACTAAAACCATTAAAAACAAGTTGTTAACTTGATTGAAATGAAATGAAATAAAATAACCCCTAATATATAGTATGAAAATATATTTATAATATATAAAAAATGACATTATAATATTGGTTAAAAAAACCTTTCGTAACACTGACATGTATGTAAATCAGTGTTATTGATTATTGCTAGGATTGTCATATTGATGCATCTAAACAGATTATTGAATGTCATCCTTTCTTCTATTTCTTAACCAACAGTAACATTAAGGAAAACTTGATCATTTTAACTAACATTTTAACTGTATTTTGTTCCTTGAATTAAACATCTTGAATCTCCTTGGCAACAGGGGCTGTTCAGATGAAATGATGATTCCCCTTAACGAAACAAATCACCTTTTAAGCCTTTTAATACGTAAACACAGAGATGCTTGTTGAATGTAATAAAATGTCAAGATGCAATTTGTAGCTATATCCACCAGCCCTAATGATCTCACCTGAAGAGAAGTTTCTTAGATGTTCCATTTATAGCATATGTGTTTTAATACGTAACAAAGCCGAAGTACGTGAGCGTTTCATCCTATAGATAGCAGCTCCGCAGTGTATTTGAGGTAGGTGCGTGGGTGCTGTGACTGTCTATGTATAGATGTATTTCCAGCACTGACATTCTCACTGCAACCTGCGCGCAAACACAAATGTACACTAAAATCTACCGTGCCGCACACACAAATGCTTCGTTTTATATAACCAGCAAATCTAGAGACTCAGGCGCTGCGTCTGCTCATTTCAACATCTTTCCTGGAAGAGAAAGGAAAGGAATTTGCCATCGAGTCATTATGAGACGAGGAGCTCAATCAACTATGTGCTGCCTGTCAGTCAGGTCTGTCCAGTCCATTAGAGACCTTCAGATGTATATTTAAATTCAGCACAGTGTTATCTGACTGCCATTGTTGCTGTATCACACAGGCGCGCAGGTTTAGAGTAAGTACTCTTTCACTTATAGGAAAAAATGAGAGCATATGCATAAACATACACATTTGTGTTTCAAACCCCAGTCAGCTGCCTAGATGGTATTTTTAGACGCTGTAGGAGCGCTGCAATTGATAGTCTATTGAAAGCAGTGTGTTGTAGCTTGTTCCCGTGATGTTTTGGAGTGTTAATATGACAGGCTTGTGGAGGGTGTGTCGCTAGACAAGTTGAGACGCCTGTTTGATGTTGACACTCGGTCAGTTGTTCAAACTTTTGAGATTGTATCATCAGATTATGCACATGCGTTATTGCTACGGGCTCATTGAGGAAAGCCGTTTGTCCGGTTTGTCTGTTGTTGTTGCTGTGCAGGAAGGGGAATTTCACTCTCACGGTGTGTAAGAACAGGTTAAATGGTAGTGTAGCGAGGGAAAATGATGGATTACTTGTAAAAGCAATGCAAGTTGACCTGTTAATGTTTTTTATGAGCTCTTTAATATCTCAAGTCTTTCTTCTTGACAGCAGTGAGATTAAATGAGGAACAAATGGAGGCTTTTGTGTCGTGATTCTCCTGAGAAAAAGAACTCAGAAAAACATCTCAGTAAACATCTCAATAATGTCTCAAACTGAGGTTTGCTTGAAGATACCAATCAAAAGTCAGAACTCAAAAGTTATCATGAAATTCTTGTAAAACCGAATTATCTGATCTGTATCGCATTATTTTCATAGCTCTTATACTGTATATTATGTCATATTTGTCAAAAACGTACAAATATGAAAACAAATGTTGTTGTTTATTACTGCGGATTGTTATATTGGTCCATCTAAAACAGATTATTTCTTCTCTTTCTTGAAAAACAGTAGTAATAATAATAATAATACATTTGTAATGGGTCTTCTTAATACTCAAATGACTACCACATTGAAAAAAACGAAACAATATATGATACATAATAACAGCAATTATTAAATATTAATGGTAAATGAATAGCAATAAAATAAATAGTAAAAGTAAAGAAAGCGTATACAATATTTATACAATAGTTATACAATAATTGTTGTTGTTTATTACTGCAGATTGTTATATTTTAATATATAATAATAAGTATATAATAAATATCATCCTTTCTTCTGTTTCTTGACAAACAGTAATAATAATAATACAACTAATATAGCTAACAAGAGATGGCAAAAAAGCAAAATAATACATAAAGTATGATACAACAATGATTCAATATTAATGGTAAAATAAATAGTTATAGTAAGGAAAACATGAATTGATTATTTAAACTACAGTTTAACAGCATTTTATTTCTTGAATTTAATATTTGGAAATTATGTTTGGTTGAAATGATCACTTTTTAAAGCCTTTTTATACACAACAGAAGTGTATTGAATAGTGTATATTCAATTTTAATAGTTGTCTCATTTGTATCCACTTTAATTTCTTACAAGAAATATTTGAGACAAAGTTGATGCTTAAGTGAAACACGAGTGAAATCTTGAGCTCTAAACTGAGCAGCACAGCTGTCCTCTCATTGGCTTTGTTGTGTTCTGATCTTTATTCTATGCTGTATTGTTTTGTGGGGCAGGACAGTCCACCCCGACCTTCCCTAAACAGCTGAATGTTTCACTGAAGACTCATTAGAAACACGCCCCACACACACACACACACACACACACACATACACACACACACATACTGTACAGACCGTATATTCTATTGCCCTACACCAACCCTACCCCTAAACCTACCCCTCACAGGAGACTTTCTGCATTTTTAGATTTTCAAAAACCTTCATTCTGTATGATTTATAAGCTTTTGTACCCATGGGGACCACAATTTAGGTCCCCACCGTGACATGAGTCCCCATGAGTCTGTGTATTCAGGTTTAAGTCCCCACCAGAATAGAAAAACAGGTATACACACACCCACACACACACACGCACACACACGCACACGCACACTGTCCCTCCCAGACATGCGGCTGCAGCTGTGTGTTCATACGCTCTTGCGCTGACTGTCTGCTGGACGCGCTGCACGCGGGGTTCATGTGTGATGTGTTGAAGGAATGGCATGCCAGGGAACAGGTGTGTTTTGATATTTTCTCATCCTCACCTTTCTCTCTTTCTCTGTCAGTCTCAGTCTCTCCTGCTTTTCTTTGAATGAGTGGTTAAACTCCTCTCTCATTCGGTTTGCATTATGTTGGCGTGACTAAGCTTGGCTCAGGCAGTGCTTCATAACTGGTTCTGCTTCAGGACTCAGATTTTACATTGATCATTAAGTGGCGACCCAACACAGAATCAAAACTGGTTTTAAAAAAAAAGAAGATACTTCTGAATTCTGATCGAATGAGCCACATTTGAGACGGTTGTAAAATGAATATAAGCACAATTGTGTTGAACATTATAATAATGTGTAAAGTGAGTGTAATAATGAACTACGCACTTAAAAGAAGACTTAAATTATCATAACAGATGTAACTTTCTATTTAACATTATTGTGTATTGGCGTATATATTTTATAAAAGCAATAAACCACACAAGCTTGTGTGTTACAGTGATTTTACCATGGTAAAAGAGGCATCTCATGGATTATTGCTTTATCGCACCAGTGTAAACAAAATTAAATGTTAATTTTGATTTATTCATATCTATCTATCTATCTATCTATCTATCTATCTATCTATCTATCTGTTATTCGTACATTTGTTCTATCTATCTATCTATCTATCTATCTATCTATCTATCTATCTATGTTGTTCGTACATTTGTTCTATCTATCTATCTATCTATCTATCTATCTATCTATCTATCTATCTATCTATCTATCTATCTATGTTGTTCGTACATTTGTTCTATCTATCTATCTATCTATCTATCTATCTATCTATCTATCTATCTATCTATCTATCTATCTCACTCTCTCTCTCTGTCAGTAAGGCCTAAATAGCCTTCAAATTAAAATCATCACACTTTAAGCAGTTTTACCTGTATCTCTTCTTGACAGATGTTCTTTTTCTAGCTCTCTGTTCTCTCTCTCTCTTTCTGTGAGCTGTTAGCTGATTATATAGCGCGGTGTGAGCTGGTTGATGTAGTTCGTGTCTCTGTCAGTCTGATCCTGAAGCGTTGTCTCCGTATGTAGCCATGCAGCAGCTCTAAAGGAAGACCGCAGGGTGATTTTATACGGCTAAGAGAACACAGAGAGAGATTGATGGCGCTCTGAGGGTGAGGCGTCATATAAGATTTGTGGGAAATCACTTACGGAATTGTTGAATTTTCATGTGGAATCCATAATCATGATATAGTTGTCATGAGCAGCGGAAGATGTGAAGCTCATAAATAACTTTTTCTGTTGTGGTGAGCTAGTTTGCTGGTTTCACTTTACACTTGACTCAATTTCACGCTCTCTCTCGCTCTCTCTTTTTGTCTTTAGGGGGGTTAGGTCCAGATCTCGGCCCCCCTCCCTCAGTGGACGAGGCAGCAAACACGTTGATGACTCGTCTTGGCTTCCTACTCGGAGAAAAAGTGAGCGAGGGGTCTCAAGGGCCGCAGTACAGCATGGATGAGCCTGATGACGCACAGGTGGGTTATTCAACCTCACCTCCTGCTATAAATATACACCTCCTTAAGATATAAAAGAAACTCAGAAAGGCTGGATCTCACCTATTTCACCCTAAAAGCAAAGACAAATAGTAGACATTCTGACATATTAAGAAAGTGAAGCTTGTTTAGGACCATTTTTTGCTGATTTTATTTATTGTAACATTAAATTCATGACAATTAAACACGTTTCCCCCAAAATTACTGTAATGTTTCTAGATGTTTTACTTTGGAGTCCATGTGTAATTCTTATTCTTCCTAGTCATGCTGTAAAGCTGTAATGTTTGTACCATAATACAATATATCATAATATTACAGTTTCTTTGACCCATTTTTTAAATCAGTCTTAATATTTTCTACATCGCAAGTGCATTTGTCACTGTTTAATGGGACAATTGCATGTGTGCAAATGACTTAATGACTTAAATGTTACTCACCCCAAATATTTGTCATTCTTCAAAACCTCGTTACTGTGTCAATGAATTGGCCAATGCCACTAAAATAATTTTAATAATTGAATGGATCATTTTGCATATGATGGCTCACACACTGAAATAATGTTTAGAAGTTATGAAGAGTTTGACAGTTCACTGAGAATCCAAGCCATGTGCATTTAGTTCAGGGGTAGGCAACATTGGTCCTGGAGTGCCGATGTCCTGCAGAGTTTAGCTCTAACCCTAATCAAACACACCTGAACAAGCTAATTAAGGTCTTCAGGATTACTAAGGCTACAGTCAGGTGTGGTTTTTTTCAGGGTTGGAGCTAAACTCTGCAGGACATCGGCACTCCAGGACTGACGTTGCCTACCCCTGATATAGATTAATTGTTGCTATCATGATATTATTAATTGTGGGAGATTAATTGTAATGAAAATATCGTCACGAAGCAGAAAACTGAATTTTCCTCACTTTCTACTGTAAAATCTCTTGTTCTTTGAGGTGTCAGCTTTATTCAAAAATTATCTTTCCCTCCTGCAGAGAAGAGGCCACATATGGCATTCAATGAGGTTACCTCTAATTAGGGAATTACATAAAGACAGCCTTTTTGCTATTCACTCTGTTGATACAGCACTTTTCAGAATACAGTCGGCCCATTTTCCTCATGTTAGCATGCAATCCTGAGCACCAGAACAAGAACGGTCTGAACAACAGGAGCAGGGGTGTAGCCATCATTTCAGAAGTGAGGGGGACAGAAATGTTA